GACTTATGGCCGCTGGGTTGTCTGATCCGCTGATCCGCTGATCCGCTGGTCCGCTGGTCCGCTGATCCGCTGATCCGCTGATCCGCTGGTCCGCTGATCCGCTGATCTGCTGATCCGCTGGTCCGCTGATCCGCTGATCCGCTGGTCCGCTGGTCCGCTGGTCCGCTGATCCGCTGATCCGCTGATCCGCTGGTCCGCTGATCCGCTGATCCGCTGGTCTGCTGATCCGCTAATGGGCTGGTCCGCTGGTCCGCTGATCCGCCGATCCGCTGTTCCGCTTGTCCGCAGTTCCAATCCACAGGGGCTGGCTCCACATGTCCTCTGGGAACCGCTTCATGAATTCCCTTTTCAAAAGCCGGGCAACTTATGTTTGGGAAAACATACATAATAACAGCGTATACAATACCACGGCTTTTCGGTTGCAGAGGACACATCGAACCAGTGGCGCCCACACGCGCACTTCCAGGGCTGTGTTTCACGTGGGCCAATGAAGTCTCCATCTCCTGCAAGCTATCGATGGTGCCTGTCCCTTGTGCAATGCGCTCGTTGTGCGTCCAGCACACTTCTGTGAGAAACCACACGAAGCCATATTGGCTCATGTGCTTGGACGCATGTTTGAATTGGGACAGCCACGTAAATGTAAATTCGCAGACACTGCTCCGGATTCCTTCCAAGCGTTGCTTGTGGCACTCTAAAGTAGGCGCGCAGGTTTCTTTGCACCATCTGTCTGTGTGACCGGTCATATGGAAAGGGTCGCACACGAAAGCCATCTTGGGAGGAGCGATGCCAGCAGCAGCCTGCGATTCCTTGCCGGGAGAGAGCGCTTGAACAAAGCACCAACGCATTATATGTTCTAAAAACAAAAACCGCATTTTCAAAAGAAAGCACGTATGGGCATGAAAAGCATTTTGTACATCACCGTCCTCTTTGCGGCGTTCTGCGTATTTCAGCAAATGGCACGCCTCGTCATGGACGCAAAGAACTGCTTCTGGCAGCAGGCACTTAGCTTCTGACAGCGCAAAATATCTTTGCGACAGGCTTTCACAGCCAAATATTTCATGCAGCAAAACAATGAGGCCAGAGGAAAGGCATACGCAAAGGACCCCCGCACTCTTAGCCAGCTGAAGTGGCTCATGTTCTTTGTGGGTGACGCAGGCGACAGCGCTCAAATCTTCAGCGGCTGAGAGGTGTGGGAGCACAGTGACATCCGGAGGCGATTCCACGTAGGACGGGCCCACGGCCCGTTTCTTTTTGTTCTGTTGTCGTTCAACACCTTTGCGTTTGAAGTATTGGTCCAGCAAGGCTTGGTGCACCACAGACTCGGAAACCCAAGCTTCTCTTTCAGCCCCTTTTGTTTCCCGCAGCAACACCTGCACAGAGCCATCTGTTTGTATCCTGTGTTCCGCAATCTCCACATCCTGCACAGGGCTCCAGAAGACGGATATGAATTCTATTTGGGGAAAACGTGGCGAATGGGGGCCTTTGTGTACACCTTGGGGGCTTTTGTGCGCAAACGCCAGCTGCCAGATGCACAGATCTCTTTTTCAGCCTGTAGCTGGCATTACTACCAATCTAATCTTCGTGTCCGTCTTGTCGCTTCCGCTTGGGAGGAGCTGCCGATTTCGCCTTTGCGGCTGCGGCTCGGTTCATGGCTGTCATGAGCTCTCTCATGGTGACTCCGCACAACTTCATCAGCTCATTGTGGTAGAATGTCCGCCCTGGTGCATCTTGCGGTATAGCACGAAGTTGGAGGGTGTCGTCTTGGAAGTCAAGGATGGGAGAACCAGCGCAAGCTTCCATCACGGCCACCCAGTTCTCTCGCGGTAAGGCCTTTCGACCGGATTCTCTGGAGGAGCGCAACTTGTCACAAATAGTTTTCGAAGTTACCTTGGGATGCCCATGTAGAAGCGTAGCCTTCATGATGAAGCGATCAGCAAATGCTTCGCGTGAAAAGCACTCTGCACTGAAGCGCCATCCGGGCCATACCCAAACTCGATGGAGCGAACGTCGGCAACCCGGAGCGGCTCAGTCTCGGGCGGAAGTTCGGGGCTGTGACTTGCAGCCGCATCGTCGACTATGGAGTCTGCAAAATCTCCGCCGGGAAAGGGAAGTGGATCTGCCCCAACCAAGGCATCGAAGTCAGGTTGCACTTCTGCTGGCTGCGGCTGGGGGTTGGGACTGGCAGCTTCTTCGCCCAAGGCAATGTCCTTGATTGTATGCACCTTGAAATGCAAAGTTGAACATCTCTCTATGTGTGCATGCCCGGTGATACAACACCCCCCGGCACATAGACCCCGAATCCAAACTGTCTGAAGCATGCCCGCACAAGTATGTAGCAACGTACCGCACAAGTATGTCTGAGCAACGTACCAAGTGTTTGCGCCGTCTATAAAGTATGTAGCACGTCACTCCTTTAGTCTTCGGTGGCTTTGTCGGACGCTCATATTATATATATATATATACTCAGGGCCCGGCGATTTTGACCAGAGCGAACGCACGTCGAAGGTGGTCGGGTGTGACCTGCAAATCTTTCTGCTGCAAGCGGTCGGCGCTGTAGACTCCTGAGAAGATTTCGTAGACCAGCAGCAGCCCGGCCAAAACGCCGATGCGCCACGGCGCAGCGCCGAGGCGGGCTCCACCAACAGGATCTGCACGTTCCCGGGCCATGTGGGACTGCGCATTCAATCCACCCTGGTAGGACATGTGCATTTGCTGGGCTTCGGGAGTGAGATCAAGTTTCATATGTGGCACGGAAAAATATTCCGTGACCCGCAGGACTGCCGCTTCAAGTTGGAATTCAGGAGGCGCAGGAAAAGCTCTGTTGGCCACACGCCATTCAGCGGTGAAGCCAGACGGCACCCTGGGATCCCTGCGGAATCGCAGGCGGCTCATGTTGCCGTCAAGCAGGCGGACAGGATAGTCCGCGGAAGATGGCAAGTAGTCGGCTGCAAAGTCTTGCGTGGCAGGGAGCTCTGGCGGCATCTCGCCAGGAAAGGTTTCCTTCCATTCAGCTTGGGCAGCTGCTGGAGAAGTAGCCTCTTTGGCGATGCCGAGCATTTCGGCCACTTCCGCCGGCAAAGGTACCCAAACATGTCTGGGTGTCCCTGGCAAGTTCCAGGGCAGGTATTTCAAGAAGCGCAACAAACTGAAAGCTTCCTATACCCTGACCACAGGAGTGTTAAGGCAGTTTTGAGGATGTCAGCAACGACCCGAATTGAATGGTCCTGTAAACAAACCACAGCTCGGTTCTCCCAACAAACCCAGCGAACCGTCAAAGGGTGAACAGGAAACAGCTCAAGACGTCCTTGCCTGGTTCCAAGATGAAATCGTCGGGGAGGTCTTGGTGCGGCTGGACGGGCTTCCCAGAAGCCACTAGAAATCTCTCTTTGCATGCAACTTGATGCGATCCACTCTCGCCACGCTCCATGGGAAAGAACTGCGACGGGTGAATGTTTGTGGTCACACCTAGCGAGATGTTCCGGGAATCTGTTTCGCCAAATGAACCCGCCGTCTTGGTTGCTCTTGCCGCGGAGCCAAACTGCAAAAGTTTGTTGAGAGAGGATTGATGCGGGCTAATCTTGGTGGATGCTTTGGCTGAAAGCTTCTCATCAGACAGCAAACCAAAAGAGGTGAGAAAATCATACGCTTCGTCGAGGTTCCCAAGCACTCCATACCACCGGCGGCCGTGCCAGAGATGTGATCCACCTGGCAACTTGCTTCCATTCTTGACCTGGTCAAAAAGTCACTTGCGCGTCTATGAAACCACTCCTCAGGGGTTGCGCTTGCGATGGCGGATGATAGCACCACAGCCGCAACCGGTTTGGACCTCGGGTCACAGCTTCAAAGTCAAAGGCGCGAGACACCTACAAGCTTTGTCAACATGAAACACAGAATGAAGCAACAGCTTCTGGAACTAAAGCCAGCTCTGGTTGGTGCTTGTTTCGTAGTTCTGTTCAATAACACGCATTGTTTATCCGAAACCGCGCCTCTGACCAGCGGTGCTTTCATCATGCGTGAAATCTTGTTCCACTGACATCTGGTTCAAGAAGGTTTGAGTCTTTTGCCGGACATGGGAATCCAACACCCTGGTGATGCTGTCAGCATGGCTGGTGCATGAGCTCTTTCGTGTTTGTGAATAGTTCACGTTGATTCCAAAGGCAACCAAAGGACTGCTTGCCGTGGGAAAAATCTGCGCAGCAGCTCCGTTCGTCAAAGGTGCCATCATCGATAACAAGTGCAGTGCATATGGGTACTCAGGGTGCGATGCGCGGACGGCCCATGTTTGACACATCTGGTGGCCTTTAGCCGTGAGGATGTCAGCTGGTTGCCACATCTTCCCCACAGCATCCCAAATCTTCTTCATTGCCGGCAAATATTCAACATCCCGGCTCATTGCCACAACGGACGCAGCAAGGGCCAAGAGGCAAACAAAATAGCTTTCTTCTGCGAAAGGAAAAACGGCTGCGGCGTCAGGTCATCCTATAGTTTGCGACCCATTCGTGTAGTTGCCTTCCCTTGCCGCACAGACAAGCTATTTGACGAACACTTGTTCCCATGAAAATAGAGTTGGGGAGTCTGACACCAGGGTGTGCATGTGTGTGTGATTCTTCGACCATGAGCTTTCCGCAACCCAGGTCCTGAGGTGCAGCAGCCACATCATCTGTATTGTGCTTGGCGCAAAAGAGATGCCCAAGCGCAGGGGTAGCTGGGCAATTGTGCCGGAGTGTTTTGTTGAGAGAAAGAGACTGCTTTCTCCCGCACAGCAACGCTGCGCATACAGCCCGCCGGTTCTTTGCGTTCCCGTCCATGACAATGACATCTCGCCGCATGTTTGCTGAGCGTGCTGAAGCCACGGCAGCATCTGAAAATGCTTTTTGTAAAGCAGGAAGAACAGGTTTCAGCAAATCTTCAACTCCCTGATGTATGTCAATGGGGTTCTGCGCCACACCCGCGATATTGTAGGCGTACCCTCGCACAAGCAACCGCCACTTGAACCAAGCCTCGCTGATCATTTTTCTGAGCCGGGCCACTGGCAGCCAAGCAGTCTGACCGTGTCTGACTGCTCTTTGTTGAATGACGTCACTCTCACTGATGAAGCTAGCGTGTTGGCGGACAACACGGCTGTGAAAATCTTCCAGCCATTCGATCGAAAAGCCAAAAGATGATGAAACCACAAAGCGGCCGTCCAAAGCTGTCTGGGTGGAAATCAGCATCCGTGAAAGGTTTTCAAACCATGTCAAATCTCTTGGTCAACGTCTTTTCTCTCTCTCTCTCTCGCGTGCTCGATCCATCCGTCCATCCATCCATCTATCTCTCCCTCTCTCCCAAAGCCAGACAATATGTGTGAGAATGTGCGTGGGATTTGATTCAAATGGTCTTGCTCCGCTAATCCACTGGTCGATCCGCTGATCCGCTGATCCGCTGGTCCGCTGATCCGCTGATCCGCTGGTCCGCTGATCCGCTGGTCCGCTGATCCGCTGATCCGCTGATCCGCTG